TTAAAGCACCTCAGGGTCTTTGAGAACCAGTTTTCTAAATCATTTGCTTTTAACTCCCAATTTGAAGAAATGTTCATGTGTACTAAATGTAAACATACTTAATGTAAACATGAATCAGGTTGAGCCATTGGGTAACATTGGACGCCGACAAAATGACCATTTGATGACTTAATGATCTTTTCGGAAAGCATAAATCGGCACTAGCCATTCCCTGTTGGCTGTGTCAGCCAGTTAAACGAGGTGAGTTTCTAGTTGGTAACATAAAATAAAGTGGGTCAAAACTGATTGATGTTCCCTAGCGAAAATGCCGAACGAATGTTATGTTACGATCTCCCGTTTCTTGTTGTCGAATTTGATTTCACTGACAAGGTTCAACGACCCCTTTCACCGTCAACACCATAATCATCGTCATCAACTATGTCAATGGCATTGCTCGTATGCTTCTCACAAAACCCCACTTACTGTTACCTAAATTGGTGTTAGCTAACATGTCGTTATAGTTGAGAAAAAACAACTGCCATTGAACCTGTAACTGACAAAGAAAAGAAACACACAAAGAATGTGTGATGACAATGACAGTAACTATTAACGTAAACTTGGTCATGACTATTTGATCACTAGAAAAGATGAAAAGTAAAAGAAGGATGACACCGACTGTATTAATTATGAAAATATTATATGAAAATGTTTGGTAAGAAGGCAGTATTAGAGACGATCGAACGTGCCAGTATTAGATGTTTTAAAATTGATGTGTTCTATGGTGTCAGATTTATTTTCCACGGGAAACCAGCAATTGTCACACATCGGAAAATATGCTTGTAAAGTTTTAATATCAGAACAAAATAAGTTTCTATTATCATTCGGTTTTTAGGGCACAAATGAGTGTTGACAGTTATATACATGGATTCCTGAGAGTCAGAGATGACACCAGGTGTTCACGAAAAGGACAAGCATGCCCCGCTCTTCCAGTAGCATACAATGTGCATGAAAAGTTATGTGTTTTGTATCTAACGCCGCACAGCCGTAGTCATGTCAAAACCCCTCCCTATCGCTTTCAAGACTGAATCTTAGGCCAGTTTAATATACAGGCAGGCATCGCATGTTCATCTTTAATTACCACTTACTGTTTAAAACTATCGCATCGCATGAAACAGCCCCTGTTGAATGGATCTCAACTATCAGCGCACTTGCTTCGAAAGCCATATGTATCCATTAGACTTAATGGCATTTAAGCCCCGCAGAGTATGTAGCGTAATGAGTGAATTATAAATGGAATTTTAAACTAATGTTTACCAATTTGCCCGAAGACAGGCATTGCCAACGAGAGGTCCTGCTGTCAAATGTGGGTTTGGTGTTACCATAAACGGTTCATCCTGTGCATATTATTGAAGAATGTCCTTTGTTAGGGAAATAAAGTGTTAAATCAGATGTGAACACGGACAATAATATCTTGAAAAACATGATTTAAACATCTTCTTGTGAGGTGACGTCGTTTTGCTTACGCGTTTGTTTGTATAGATGTGTTTAATGGTTTCTGTAACTTAACTGAAAGTTGTTATTTTCAGCGATACTCTTGCTGAACGTGTAACATAAAGTTGCATTGAAGACCCGGGTTCGATTCCCCACAGCATAAAACCATACTCACTCATATTTTCTCTCTCTCTCTCTCTCTTTGTTGGAATATTCTTTTTCATGAGTTTAGTATTATACGATCAATAAATATGAAAATATACCCTTTCATTAATGTCTCCCACAAGTCACAACCGATAGTGTTATGTATGTTAACATCTTCAGCAACCCATGCTTGTCGTAAGAGGCGAGTAACGGGATCGGGTGGTCAGGCTCGCTGACTTGGTTGACACACGTCATCGTATCCCAATTACGTCATAAAAACTGGAATATTGCTGAGTGCGACGTGAGACAACAAACAAATATTTCGAGTATATGTTTATACATCAAAATGATATTTCTGAGCCTCGGAAACCGAAAGTTACCTCAGAGAAACCTCTTTAAAATGTATGACACTGCCGAGACAGAAACGACACACATATAGATTCAAAAGATCAGGTTACCCGAAAGAATCCTTGCATAAATGTTGCGAAAGCAGTTCCTTTGTAAACATCATAATAGACAACACTCACTGGGTAAGGCACCGAAAATCAATCTTGAAATATGAAGACCTTTTTCACAGTGGATAACTCATTCATAATGATTATGGTTCATTAAGGTGTGAGATATCTCGTGGAGCAACATATTCACGTGCTTGTACTCACAAGCATATGACGTTACTAATGATGCATAAGTGTTGATGTGTGTAATGTGAAGTTTCATAAAACGTAAGCCGCATAAACCAATGTTTCATAAAAAACGCTTTGTTCAAGCAACATTATCTTGAAAAAATCAAATGAGAAGTCGACCCTTAACCATTACAGGCACACACGATAACATTTACTTATAGAACCTATACTTGGGTAATACGTATAATGACAGAAGCTCCCACTAATACCCAGGAGTCAGTGGCTCTTCATCTGAGGACTCAAGGGACTGCAAGGGATTGATCGTGAAGAGGTGATAGCGCCCAACACTGACATATGTAGTCACACGCTCTCCATCCAGCTCACAAGTAGATCGACACATTGATGGCTCAAAATACGGTTAGAGCTCACAAACTAGTTAAAGAGATTTCTCAGTATCATCACGTGCTCTTCTCAACACGTTTGACTTCTGTTGGCTGTTGAAAACAAGGGGAGAACATTTTCATTGTCAATAAACGCGGGAAAAAATCAATGAGAACCGCAAGGCCTTTTATCTTAGTGTGTATTCCATTACAGTTTTGACAGGAGGGGTTCCCCTGGGAATTGGAAAAATGACACAAAAATTATTATTGAAAATAAATACAAAATGTTCACTTTCAGATGTTTTTGTCAGTGCTGATGATATTTTTTCTGTAGTATGTTGTAATTTCGTTTTTGAAACAAATTTACAAAAAAAAGCAATAAACATTTATGGTTATGATTTTATCATTTCTCCTTTCAAATTTACTTTCAAATTTACAAACACTTGGTCGATTCTTAAATCTTGACTTCATAGCTATGTTTGGAAAATTAATATCCCTCCTTCCTCAAATAATGTGTGTTTGTTTTGCTTGTTGATGGACTTCAGGAGTATTGTTCTGCACAAATGGGATAGGATAGGACAAGTCAGCAAACTTGACCAACATATTCCATCTCACGGCAAGCATGTGTTCCTTAAGATCAGTTCTAGCCTGGATCTTTCTGTAAAATGGAAAGCTGTCTACGATTTTATTTAACGTTCAAATTTCCTGGTTGTACAAAAATACGCATACAATGACATGGAGTCCCAACTGGCCACCTCTCAACAAAGACCTTCGTTTGTCATCAGTTTGAGTTTGACAAAGAAAACATGGTCGTTACAAGAATTCCACACGAGTCAAAGTGTTTCCTCTTCATCTTGGTCGTTTCACCTTCAAAAACTAGTTCAACTGTTTGTTAACGAAGGCACTTTATTGCTTATTTGAACGTGTAGCTTAATCCTCAAGTGATCTCGTATGGATACAAACAGGCTTCTGCCACTTCTATTATTTCATTCATCCTCCTCAAACACTTGTAGTGATTATATTAGATGCTTTATCAACTAGCCAGAGCAATGCTATACATTTCAGCGCTTCTCATCCGGAGATTGTGGTTTGTCTAAATCTGTTTGTCTCTAATCGAGTATTTTGATGAATATGTATAAAAGACTTGGAGGGTGTTATATCAACACTGCTGCAGCCGGAGTGTTGCTATGTCGTAAGCTGAAAATTTTAAAACGGCGTGATGTAAAAATGAGGGCCAATGTAGATGACAAGGAGACAGTTTGGATTATTATTAAGTTATCTGCTGTTTAATATCTCGGTTTGGACAGAGGTTATAACTGATCTGAGAGAGGATGTACAAGGCCACATTTGAAAGTGCGCCACACTAATGTTTAACTGATGAACAAACACTATGATTCTGGTACGAAGCATTAAAGTAATACATGTCATATGGATGCATTTATGGAAGAGTAATTGCGTATTATGTTTATTATGAGTTTAAGAATTACCATCCTTGTGATGTGCATATAGCCATGTTTATACGTGTCATTTGACTCTCGCCCAGAAGTTGTTTGATCAAGATTACAGCATTCAAGCTCTTGGTAAAGCTTTCAAACCGGAATAGCACAATCGATTCCTTGTCAGAGCTTTCTTGTGGATGAGGAAAGCCTTTTGTCACTTTTATTTTACGGAGTAAATAACATGACAAGCTGTATCTCGTACGTGAGGATATGCCAGTAGGTTTGTTTCGTATAATTACAGCTTCAGTCTGCTTAGTATTATATATTGATGGTACTGTCCAAGGTTTTTGTAATTTGATTCCATTTATTATCAAATTATAACTTTTTTACGTCACGATATGGCTGAAATATTGCTGATGTGACTATAGATCCTAACTCACTCACACCATTTGTTTCACTTCTGAAAATACAGAATACTCAATATAACAGTGAACGAGAAACGGCAGAATCGAACGTTTATTGAACTTGAAAGGTAAGGAATGAATATATGTAGTTTTTGAAAGGCATTTAGAAGTTTGACGAACATGAATACATGACACTGTTTTGATAACAACTTCTTTTTATTCTTTACACGACGTTTCAGAGCTAATTTTTGCTCCTTCATCATGTGAATACTGAGTCAGTACAAAGAGTGAATTTATATAGATAAAACATGTTTACACAATGCAAGGAGGGGGAATGTACAAAGATAACAATATAATTACGTAGCCAACAATATAATTACGAAGCCAAAAAGATTGGATTAATGCATGGAGAAAACAATGTATTGTGTACACAAATCCAAGAGTTGGGGTGGAGTGATGTACAAGAATAACAACATAATAGGAAACCAATTGGATAGGATTAATGTACAAAGATAACAATGAACGGTTGAAGCCAAGAGATTATAGGACAACAGAGTATACACTGGGAAGGTAAATGCCTTGGTCCCGGTTAATGACTGGCTTCTTTCTCTGGATCTCGATGCTTTCTTGAAGTTTCCGCTTCTTCCAGTGGTTGATGTTGGTGTGTAGAATCTTGGTTTGTTGCCAGGAAATATGGTGGTCGGGATTTTTGATGAGGTGTTCCGAAAGCGCAGATTTCATGTCAGATTTTTCTACAGAGGTCTTGTGTTCTTTTATCCTGGTAGCTATGGGGCGTGATGTCTCTCCTATGTATTTGTCTCCGCAGTTGCATGCTGTTTCGTATACACATCCTCTAAGATTTGGGGTGGACTGAATGTGGCCTTTCCCATTAGTATGTAGCATACTCTTTAGTGTTCTGTCTGATGTGAAAGTGACATCTATTTTGGCTGTACTGGTGAGCAGTCTGCTGATCTGGTGACTTATGGGACATTTGTATTGGATACTGACGAGGATAGGTGATGGGGCTGGTTTGGACTTGGGATTAGGGTCTTTTTGCTGGGAGGCCAGGGTTTTGCGTATGGTCTTCTCTACTAGCTGTTTACGGTATCCGTTGAGGGCACTGAAGGTGTGCTTTAGGTGATGGATTTCTTGGCTGAGGTTGTCTGAATTGCAGATGGCTATAGCTCGTCGGGTGAGGGTGGCAATGATGGCTTGTTTGATCTGAGGGTGGTGATTTGACAGGTAATGAATGTACTGATCCGTGTGGGTTGGTTTGCGGCAGATGGCAGTGTGGATGTTGTCTTGACTGTCAGATATAAATGTGTTCTTGAGAAGGTGGATTTCATGGGATATTTTACAGAAACATGGTCATGGGATAGGAAATCAGATCTATTTTAGGCGAGCCCTTCCTTAAATAACGTTTAACTCATCTTTGAAATATTTACTTCAATATATACCACCACAGCTTATGCATGCTTAATGAGAAAACATGCGACTGATCTATGCCTATCCAAACAGCCCCGTATTATCTAGACCTTGATACCTGGACACCTCAACCACAATACCTTTTAACATGCTTCTTTCAACCGGAAATCAAATTTCCGGATCTGGACATTGAATTTCAAGAACCATCAGTGCACACTACACAGTAATGTATCGCACTTACGGACAGACAACGTTCAAAGAGCAGGAATCATGGGGTCGATATGTAAAGTAGTTACTCCGACTGTTAGATGGGAACACTTGTCATATTTGTCAGTGAGGTGAAGAGGATTCTAACAATAAACAGGCAATGACAATGGTGATTTATCACAGTCAATTTCACACAGGAAATTCCTAAGCGGAAATCAAATGCAGAAATTAAGCTGGAAAAGAAAGATATATTTTGCTGAACCTTTGTGAGGCTACACTCTATCATCCACTTTGGGCATAACAATGGAAAATCAACAGTGTGTGACACTTTGAAAAAAAAAGAAATGGTTGACAACTTATACGAATGGTGAAGCCAGGATGTTTTCTCTGACACTACCTACGGGGACGTTGTTTGCCACGTTGATATCATCCTCTCAGTAAAGACTGAAACCACCTAAAACTTTAGATATGTCATGCAGGGCGTATGCAGAGCTTACCCAAACTGAAACTAAACCTGCCGATGACTTCAGCAAAGAGAGGAATAAGGGCACCTGGCATTTCCTAGAGCTTGACAATCCCAGTAAATTGGTTGACATATTACGAGAGGAGCGGTGATATAAGCTGTATTGACCTCCTTCTACACATGAACACGACTGCTTATCAATCCAGACAATAGTCGTGAGAACGCAGTTGTCGAGATAAGCAGAGGTCGTACCTTCGACATACTTATAACGACAAGAGTGAGATTTTACATATTTACGATGAACTCTGTTATAGAGACAGGACTGAGAAAACAACCCGCAAGATGTTGGGCGCGGTGGACGAGCTGGCTAAGGCGCCAGGCTAGTGATCCAGCAAGGTTGAGGTGTCGGGATCAAGCCTACCTGTGACCGGGTGTAAAACCTTGGAGTCAACTTTGTGTGCAGACTCTTTCAGTGTTGTCACAACCCATAGTGTACAGTACACAACCCTGTGCACTTAAAAGAACCCGTGAATCCGTTGGTATATGACTAGATGGTGGCCACATGAATACGTGCAAACACCTAGTTGCGGGTACAGCAACGTGCAGTGAACTTGGACAAAGTACTGTGACTATGTGTCCCGTCCACCCAGCTGTGAATGGGTACCTCGTTAGGATGAGAAAGCCACAATAACTCGGTGCGCCTAGTGGCTGCAAGAGTTGTATACTCCCCAGGGAGTTGAGATTGATAATACGATGTGCCTTTGAGATTGACATCCAATGATCGAGGGAAAATACCAGCGCCTTGAGCATGCACTAGTTGCCTGGATATGTGCGCTATGCAAATACATGTATCCTATAATAATAATAATAATAATAATAACGACGCCAGCCTGTAAATAATGGGAGTCGGGATTAAACAATCCAGGGATTAACGTTATAAGCAACGATCGTTGCTGGTGGGTTACGATGACACACAATAAGTATCGACACTTATGACCAGCTCTGGCTGGGTACTACCGGACGCCGGCCATGGAGAGTGTCAGGTTCCGATGATGGAATGTTCCCTTATTTCCTGTCAGCTGTTAATAAACTAAACTAAATCCATTCACTTACCCCAGAGTATCACGAATACAAGCCAGAACATGAAATAAGCGAACCGTTGGATAAACATTAAAACACTATTACAATCTTATTATAACGCCACGCATGGCTCCGGCACAGGGTCGTTGTATTCATCATCGGGCGGTGGGGTAGCCTAGTGGTTAAAGCGTTGGCTCGTCACGCCGAGGACCCGGGTTCGAATCCCCACATGGGTACAATGTGTGAAGCCCATTTCTGGTGTCCCCCGCCGTGATGTTGCTGGAATATTGCTAAAAGCGGCGTAAAACCAAAACTCAGTCAGTCAGTCATTCAGTATTCATCATCAAACAGTCGAGAGATTGATTACACAAACTGTTACTTTCAACAAATAAACAACAAATAAAGAAAGAAAGAAAGAAAGAGAGTGGAAATAATATTTTACAGAAAATCTATGCAAATTGTTGTAAATTTCTCTAATTCAAATTACAAGGGACATACTGTCATAGCTAATGGACACTGACTGTTTACAAAGCAAGTAGCAAAGACTCAGTATATGATATGCACTTACAAGGACCTAGGAAACAGACTTTAGGTTGCATTGAGCCAAAGCAATAAATCTAGAGTTAAGAAACCATTGCGCTTTACATGTTTCAACGTGATACCTACCCTTGACACAATGAATCTTCAATGGTAACATAACGTCAGCTCGAAGGACAATCTCAGAACTTTGTTAAAGTGCCGCCAGGTCATTTATTATTTGACATTTCTGATAAAACACACCTGGAAAATAAGTTTTTTGTTCCAGAATGGTACTTGAGTTTAAATTCAATTGAACATCAATTCCTTAGTTTGTAGAATTCAGTGGCGCTTTGGTTGGGTTAAACGTTATTATCAAACATTATTCACTGTTACAATTGTCGGTGAATTTTGCTGTCACCATTTGTAGACTCATCCATCATTATCAGCTGAAGCTTGTGGAGTCGACGCTCAGTTTAGTGTTGTTTTGAGTTTGTGCAGCCCCAGTGGTTCTTAACCCACTGGGATACACAGGCCTGTGTGTTGTTGCTTAAATGTTTCCAGATCAGTTGGTCTCACGAATATCAGAATGCACTTTATCCTAATATATCTTTCATAAGTTCAGATACTCTTTGCTTTGTATGACTGTTTCTTAAAATGAATAATTAATAATGTTTTGTCTTTTGGAAAAGATTGTTGGCCAAAAACAATAGCATATTGTCACATGAACCAGCAGGACGAGATATATTATGTGTTATGTATATCTGTATCTATAAGGTAAATACATGATATGGTGTGGAATCGGTACATGCTTTGTGAGGCTGTCCGCAATATCACATCACTGTGAGACCGGGGGATGATTCAGTATGAAGATAGTTATCACACATCATGTGTTTTTAAAATATCCACATCGAATAAAACAGCCTGTGTTACATTGATTCTGGATTCTGGAGGCAACGTATCTGGCACCATACCCCGCATTTATCCATTAGACTTAATGGTATTTAAGCCCCAAGGAGCACGTAGGGTAACAGGTTAAATTTAAAATGAAATTTAAAACTAATGTTTTACCAATTTGCCCGGAGACAGCCAAAGCAGCGGGATAAGAGTTCCTGAGAACTTCCTGCAGGCTTTGTGTTACCATGTGCTTCTGTAAAAGCATGATTCCACTGTTGGTGGCCCATTATTCAATCATTTTCGAGAACTGCCTGGCTGTGTTTAATCCGTTGGTTTTGTTTGTTTGGACGTCCCTGAGGTATGTAAATATAAAACGTCAAAACCAGGGAATAACCAATCCCCATTTTCCGATGAAACAAATCTTCGAAAACTGTTATGCATGGGTTGCTTAAAATGAGTGATGAAGCCAGGTGTTTATAAAAAAGAGGAGACAAATAATTTTGGTGATCACACTTTGTCTATTAGAATCGAGTGTAACATTTTGCCTTTAACAAACTGATTTTTGGCATAACAGCATGAGTTTTGATGGTTTACGATCGCTGAGAATGATTTCATGATATGCACATCTCATTCCTTAATGCCCCACCAATAATGTCAAACAATGTTTTGCTTCACGCACGTGATAAACTAATGTATTAGATGAGCACGCAAGATCAGGACACAAAAAATAAATGTAACCTTAAATTATAAATGTATAGAGGAGGTTATTTATGAGGACGAAACATCGACAACACAGACCGTTCGTTTGGCCATGAACCATGCTTAATATACTGAAGATTTTCATAATTAAAAGTTACATGCTTTAATGACGTCAAGTGACATGGTGCCAAGGAAACACAAATAAGTCACTTGATGTTCTGCCCAACGTACTAAACACAGGAGCGTCTCAGTGTGATGACTGGTTAATTGTGCTGCTTGAAACAAAGTGTGCTTGGATGATGAAAGCCTGCATACTGTCTCATTTCAGTCTGTTCTTCAGTTTCCCCATGGTACAAATGTACGACTTCAATTACAAAGACTTGTAACTTGACGACCTTTGCAACGGACATCACACGATTAACAATCATTACAATTATCATCCGTAACTATTACTTTGAGCTTGGTTAAAAACTTCTATGCTTCCATGATGATGCTTCTTTCCTCACATTGGGTGTAGTTTCTCTTCTTTGTTAGAGTTGTTAAAAATGGGATTTCTTCGCGAAGTCCTATTTTCCTTTTTTTGAGAGTGCAATGCATCTTTCAAATGATTGTTTCCACCAATAGCCAATTTAAATACGCTTTTCTAATTCAACTGACTTTTATCGACTTTTGATCTCGGACTTGACACGTGGCTATTAACAAAGGTGAAGTGGGGCACACATGCTAAAATAGGAAATGGAGTTATCCATGTGGTCTCTTGCATTATCACGGTGGTTTCAAAAAAACATCATGATGCCATGTCTTGACACCTGTGCAACTGATTCAATCGTGACAAATAAACGTTCGAAATTCATGACAGGTAACAAACCGTCATAAAACAATTCCTTGAAGTTCAAAAGAGTTGATTTGAAACCTTTTCAAATATTAAACTTCAATTTGACACTTGAAGCCGTATAACAAATTCTCTCTCTCTCTCTCTCTCTTTCTCTCACACACAAAAACACACACACACACAATGTATACATATATCCGACTGTAATATTTCCTGTGTGTGAAAATCCATTCTAAGCAGAGCGAGTATTGTTTTACGCGAATTTTTCAACCACTAGCCAACCCACCTCGCCTCATTCGTAACGGAAATAACACCAGGAAGAAGTCTAGTGCCGCTGTGTAGTATAGGTTTTATAGAATACTATTTTGCTTTCGCTTTCTTACGACATCGTCGTCCTGTGGGAGACCTGGGAAAAACTGAATCCTTGTACAGCGTGCTTGTCGCAACCTGATTGGGTGTCTTTGTGCCCACACCTAATGTTTTTCATTGCAACACAAAATACAGACACCAGTAACCTTGCGTTATGGGAAAGCATGACCGTGCGACGAATACATAGTGAATAACGTCTTCTGTTAAGATGTACCATACTTATCGTTTAGCCATCATTTCAGGTCTCGGGTTCGTGTGTCAACAGATTCTGATCACTGTCTTTTGATTTGCTGTCGTAAAGTTAGTAAAAGGTAGTTTCAGTTTTGTGACAGTTCCCTCACATACCCTCTCGGGAAATCAGGAGCGAGCTACCTTCAACGTTATATATCACTGTTAGAGAACAGGCGAAAAAGATTTGTATAGAAATCAGCATTATTTGCCGGGTGAAATGACTTCTCTTCAAGAGTAGTCTACTACTACTTTATTGAGTAACTCTGTGGTCCAGGGCCTCCTTTCACGAAACACTAAAGGTGATTGTAAGTCACTAAGGTAACCTTAGCGCAATGTTAAAGGATGGGAGTTAAGGTTAACTTTAGTAAGGGTTGCTTCGTGACAGGAGCTCAAGACCAGTACGATCGAAACATGTACAGTGGATTGTTACTATGATTTATCACATTTTGATATTGTACATGTAACAATTTGTCCTGATGCTTGTTTCTTTGCTTTCCATTTTGCTGTCATTTAGTTCCTGAAAGGTGTTTGGTTGGTGACAATTATTCCATCATATATCGATCTGGAAATAGAACAAAACACATCAAAATATAAAGAAACAGAAGATAAAGAAGGAGAGACACATTGCACCTCGACA